TTGTCTGCAATTTTAAATATTTCTTCTTGTTTATAGATATGTGCAAAATAGGCAGAAGCATGTTCAGGACTACATACTGCTAATCACTCATTACAAAGTTGTTCAATGTTGTCCAAACGAAAACGTACATTTTGTTGTTGAACGTAATTTTTTAAACCTGCCCAACCAAGTTCAATAGGATTCGAGACACAATGCTTCACTGGTATTCTAACAATTTCAATATTATATTTAGTTGCTACTTTATCAACAATAAATTCCTTTGGTGGTAAATGAGTAAAGACTAATTGCATTAACTCAACTTTTGTCATGTAAGGTTTATATTTGATTTTTTGAGCAGTTAGCCAATCAGCAATTAATTGTTTTTTCCAAGCACGTTTAGATGGTTCAGATTCGGGAGCAAGCTTGTAATGCCATTTGGGATTATCTATAATAATAGCAATTTTAGTCGTTTTGCCATGTTCAGATCATAAAGTACTACCCATACTGTCCATACTATGTACTTCGGCACACTTGAAAATATCTAAGAAACGAAGATGAAAACCGTTTAGACTAAGAAGAGCACTGATTGCTAAACGTTGACCTATAAAAATCGAAACAAAAACTTAGTTTAATAGGAAAATGATGATAAAACCTTAATCTTCACCTTTTCTTTCACTATTTCGAAGACCACCATATCCTCGATCATCAAACCATACAACTGTTTTTTTCTTCATTTTTACTTAGCCACGCTCCATCATGATAATATAATATTGAATTATTAGGTTGTAGTTGATCAATTTTTCTAAAGTACATGGCACGTTGAGCTTGAAAAGTTAGCGAATCCATCAAAACTTTTGCTTTTTTTATCTTTCTATATTTGAAACCAAGTGCCTTTATTTCTCGACATAATGATGTTATTGACTGTATTGGAAATTCAGGATATTAACTTAATAGAGTTGATAATAAATTTTCAATAGTAGGATACATTTTATCCTTCAATAATAGATGAAATGTTAATCTAATTGTATCTTGTTCAAAATTTGTTAACTGTACTTTTGGACGACCTGACCGTTTGATTGGTGTCACCGACGTTAGTGATAACGAGGTATTTGACGAACGAGTAAATCTAACAAATTCTTCTTGGTCTTCCTTCAACTGTTTCATTCCATTTTTTAACACAAAAACTGATCTTCTCGAAATACCAAGTATTGCCACAAGACGGTCAGTAATATTATTAAGAGGTATTGATGGACCATCCTTTTCTTTTTCAATGAAATCAATAATAGAAAATGTCAATTGCTTAAATTCCAACGAAAATACTTTCCGCATTATCAACTAATGTTGCGTTTTGTGATCTAAATAAGAAGGAAACGAAATATGACATATATTGAGTTTCTTGAATATGTGAAAAACAGAAATAGATAACAAGTCAACAACGATGACTAACAGAAAAAGAGAATAGAAAGATGAATAAGAACAACTAACTACTACCGAACAAGGACAGAAATGATCACATATACATATATGGAAATTGGTTAGAATATCCCATAAAACAAAATCAATGTCTACCACGTTACAACTAAGAAAAATCTAATACCTAAAATAATAAATTAAAATACGATCTACAAAGAACAACTCTCACTAGTATCTGGTTAGAATTACCAATACATAGATGCCACACCAGATAGTTCACTCCTCTCTTTGACATAAGAAAAATTTTTTTTTCATGACTTTCATTGAATATACGCGAAAAGAGTGCATCGATTGTCATCAGAGCATTTTTTTCATATGGAAATATTATCTATTCACAATGAACATATATGACTAATAAAAAAATGTTATTCTAAACACGAAAAAAACCATTGCCATGATGTTCAGCATAGTCGATAACCTATGTTTTCACGTGTTTACAATAGTGACACAACTAAAGAAAAGCGAGTCCTGGGACTTCGGGAAAACTGCCTTGTTTGCGTAAACCTTACAAGACAGAACTTTTGCTTAGATCTAGTTTTGCAGGAAACATTCTCAGATATC